GAAATTAAAAGGCTTCCTGTTAGGCAAAAAGAAAAGTCAAGGGACCTTGACTACAGAGCATCCATTATTCAAAGTTTTGCTGAAATCTGATTGTGGTCTTGAAAGGGAAAAAATCACAGAAGTTTTCTAGTCCATGCTCAGTTTATTTCCAGCTCGATTTTTTCCTAATTACAAGTATCAAAACTCTGGGCATTTTGGAAGATCAGAAGAAAACATTCACCCTGCCTGACAGAGCTCCTTGGTAGCAGCTATAGACTTTTATTTCAGTGCTGCAGAGGTGTGCCCTTTTCTAACGCATGTTCCTTTTCCATTGGGTTTGTGTGAAGGGGCTCATGATACTTGAGGAGAGGGTAGCGTTGGAGTCATTGGATGCCTTACCAACCTTTGCCATGTGAGGAGGTTATTTACCTTTGTAATCCTGAGTCAGGTTGGGTGACAGACTGAGGCCAGGAAATAAAGTTCAGTTTCTTGCAGCATGTCTGGGTGTCACATCTTTAATGCCTGGTGTCACAGCTAAACTAGGGCCCAGATTCTAAGAGGGCTTTGCTCCTGTTATGACGCTCCACACCCACCATCCTATGCTCTGTTGACAATCAGGCCCCAATTGCAGGTGCTGAGCACTTGAAAATCCGGCCTGCCATCTTGCACAAAGATGGAGAGGTAGGGTCAGAGGGCAGGGCAAGGGTTCTGAATCTCCTGAGCGGTACGTTCTATAGGACATATTGTGTCAGCAAGCCCTCCAGGGATTTCTGGTCACGCAGCCCCTTTTCCACAGGCTGTCTGGGAAACAATCCATGGAAATCCTTCTGACTTATCCCATCAGGGAATGAATGGAGTTGCTGGCAAGGCCCTCCAATCCCATAGATGTTGGTACATATACCCAGAAGGGCAGGGTCTCTGTTCTGTGCCCCAGCCCTCCCTATTCCCTCCAGCAAGGATCACAGCTCCCTAGACTCCCTGCTGTCACCTAGGCTCACCTTCCCTCAGAGGGTTCTGAGAGCAAGGAGGAGGAATCAGCTTGATTTTACGTGGGGAAATTATAGGAGATTTGAGGGCCCTTCTCCCAAGCTGCAGATCCCACCCATGAGAAGATCATACTTATGTGGCTTCTGCAGCGTGAAGCAGAACGTTATGCCATAGGGTCAACTCAGGCCTCCCCTCCCCACGCGCAGGCTTCTTTGGATAAACGGATGAAAAGACCTGGAGACTGTAGTCCTGTATCCCCGATCTAATGGAGTGTACACCTATACACCTCCCCATTTCTGATCTGAAGGGACTACCGCTAAACCACAGAAGGTAGTTCAGCCTCAAACGCATTCATTCCTTGGCCTCTCTGTACACACACACCTGCCAGCAAGGCAGCTAAACTGTGATGCTGACTTTTGTCCCTTGGGCCTGGACTGAGTTCACTAGCCAGATTCCAGACAGAAATGATTGTCACTGCTGACCCACATAGGGTTGACAACCCTCCAGGATTGTCCTGGAGTCTCCAGGAATTAAAGATTAATCTTTAATTAAAGATAATGTCATGTGATGAAACCTCCAGGAATTCATCCAACCAAAGTTGGTAACCCTAGACCCAGACCCCATTCAGACTGGCCAGCTAGAGGGGACTGGATGTGTATTCTATTTGCTAGCCCCCCAAAAAACTATATCCCCAATCCTGCAATCTGATTTGCAGACAGACAGACCCTTATGCACATACAGCCCTAGAAGCAGGGCCACTGAAGTCAAGGGGGTTCCGCACAGACTCAGCCGCCCACCTTTGTGGATCAGATTGCAGGATCAGGACCCATACTACGCACAGTCTCCAACTATAAACTACACTAATATCACCTATCTTAATAACTCAACGCAGCTCAACTCAACTCAACCACTTTAATTCTACTGTAAAACATTACAACAACACTTCAGAAAGGGGCCTTTTGCCAATAGTAACATTTTAATTCTTTATTTATTTATTTATTTATTCTATTATCTTTACAATTAAGACCAACTGTACAAAAATAATTAATTCAGTTCTTGGCAAATTCACACATGGGAAAAAAAATTCTTCTTTCATTTCTCTCCTTAAAATATTTTGATTCAAGGCATGTGACAAACACATGTACAGTAATGAAATTTACAGTCATTATAAAGAGTTAATTAAGAGTCCAGATACCCATTGTGTTTGGTCAGCTATTGGAAGAAATAGGAAAGAGAGGGAGAACTGTTGTGCCCCATAAAGGTTTAATCACAGAACTAGATTTATTTGAATTTGGGGCTAATGGAAGCAAAAGGCTAACAGCACTGGCTCAAGACAGACATAGTATTACCTTCCTATACAACTCAGCCTTGATGCAGCACCCTGTGATTCCAGTGCTGAGTCTCCATACACTTCTATAGATGCAACACAGCTCTGAATTGCAGGGCAGCCCTGTATTGCTAATCCTGGGCTCCTCGAGTCGAGATTCACAACGATGCAGTGGGGGAAAGTTCATTTCATTTAAGTGGGATTTGAACCCAGGGCTCCAGAGATGAAAAACTAGTTGAGTTATCGACTTTGCCACCAAGCCTCCTGCACCAATATCACTGGACTTTGTTTTCTCACGCTGGCGCTTGGTGCTGCTGTCTTCCCTCAGTGAATCCCAAACATTCTCCTAATCCCCAGTTTCACTTCCCCCATGTGGGACACCTCACTAATTCTTTTCAAGGATCAAGAGACTTGCAAAAATGATCAGAATTAACACAAAATAATTCACTTCCACCTATCCAATCAAGAACTGCAGGAGGGAGACAAAGCAGAGCCAGCCTTTAGCCCCTTCTCCCTCCCCCCACCCATGGATTAGAAACATCATAGCTAATCTCATCTTTCATTTAAAAATAGTTTGTCCTTTTTCTTTGAAAAGGTCTCTGAAAATAGCCACAGATTCCAAGGTCAGACGGGACCACTGGAATCATCTAGTCTGGCTTCCTGTATAACACAGGCCATAGAACTTCCCAGAAATACTTCCTGTATGAAAGACAGCATCTCTCTCAGAAAAATACCCCATCTTGATTTAAAAACTGCCAGTGACAGGGAATCACTGGCAGCCTTGGTAAATTGTTCCAATGATGGATAGTCCCTGTTGGTGCTAAAAATGTTTGAGCCATTCCCAGGCTAAATTTGTCTAACTTCAAGTCGGGCACTGATTTATCCTAATATCATGGAGGTTCATTCCAACCCCCGCACCCCTGACACACACAGCCCCCCGCGCAAGGCCTTTGGGGTTGCTGAAACCCTGAGGCCCCACTCCCTCAGTTTCTGGGAGGACCCAGAACCAATTAATGACCTGGGGAGAGGAGGCAGTGCTGCCCTGGCTGCTGCCATCGCCACCAACTCCCTTCCCAGCAGCTGGCTGCTGCTGAGCTTGCTCCTTCCTCTGAGGAGCAGCCATTGTGATTTGTATGAGGGCAACTCAACAGCCCAAGAGGCAGCGCCATTAAGTAGACTAAGCACGGGAGCAAGTCCACAGAACTCCTCTGTTCTAATGCCGGCTCTGAAACAGACACAGGCCCTGATTCAGCAAAGCACCTAAGCAAATGCGTAACTGAAGTGGTCCTATTAACTTCAAGAGGATACATGGAATTAAGCATGGGCTTCCTTGCTTGGCTGCACTGAGGCTGTGGTTTCTGCATCTCTAAAGTGGATCATATTTAGCTACCATGCACTGATGGTGTAACAATGAATGTTTGTAAAGTGCTGTAAGCAGAATGCACACAAAGCACATCAAAGGCAGCAGGTTTAAAACAAACAAAAGGAAGTATTTCTTCCTACAACACACAGTCAAACTGTGGAACTCCTTGCCAGAGGATGTTGTGAAGGCCAAGACTATAACAGGGTTCAAAAAAGAACTAGATAAATCCATGGAGGATAGGTCCATCAATGGCTATTAGCCAGGATGAACAGGGATGGTGTCCATAGTCTCTGTTTGCCAGAAGCTAGGAATGGGCAACAGGAGATGGATCACTTGAGGTTTACTTGTTCTGTTCAGAGGGAATGATGCTAGAATGGGCTAGATGGACCTTTGGTCTGACCCAGTATGGCCATTCTTATGTTTCTGGCCTCCAGTCCCACAGCTTAGATTCACAGACTCTAAGGTTAGAAGGAACCATTAGGACCAGTCTGAAGCTAGTCTGAAGCTTATTTCAACAAGCTGTCCTTTTCAGAACTCTTCTAACTGTTCACAACTATGTAGGACACTAACAAGCAACTAATATCCCAGTCTCCTGCAGCAGGAAGCTGGTGGCAATCTGAGGAATCAGTCATGTTTTTAAGGGGTGAAAGACTTTTACGGGCTTCTCCAAATTACTGGACAGAAGCCAGGGTAGCTGGTCATCGCTCCACAGCAGCAAAGACAAGAGCAAGGCAGCCTGGTCTCCATAGCTGCAGCAAAATCAGGTTAAGAAAACCAAAAGGTTTATTGTACATTTAGAAAGCGCTCTAGTCTGATGGAAGTTCAGAGGCGTACGGATTTGGACTGCAAGTCAAAGCAGCAAGCAACAGCGTGGAGGAATTCAGGTACTCTCTCATCAAACAGTTCTACCAGAGAGCGTTCTGCAGGACGTCATGGGTCCAGCTCTTTTCAGGCAGGCTCGAGAGAGCCAATGGTGCTTGTTAAGAGTGTCTCAGACTGAAGTCTCTCCTGTTCGCAGCCATGCTCACCAAGGTCACCATCCGTATAATTACACCTCTGGGGACCAAGCTAAGCTGACACAGGAGTCAGGGACGAAGTCTTTCATCCCACATGCAAGTGGCTGGGTACAGCAATTACTGGGGGGTCGTTTGGTTCTGCTTAAGGCAGGTCAACAGGTGATATGGACCAATGGCTGGTTACACTGTTGCAAAAGCTGTGCCCTCACCTCATGGTTTTTCATGTCTCCTCATTTCAACTCCACCCCTCAGCCCAGGCTGCCTGGTTCTAGCTGACTGTTTTGTAATGGCTACATTCAGCAGTGCTGCTCTATCACCACCAAGGGCAGCTCTATCACCACCAAGGGCAGCTCCTCTCAAACTGTGGTGAATGGAGCACTGACTGGCCTCATGGCACTAATTCCCCTCCTCACTTCCAGCTCTTAAATTGCATTACAAGAAGCTAAAAACCATTTTGCTTATGTGGAAAGGTCACATGAGGAAAGTCATGACTGTGGTTGACACAAAGGCTCTGACTGCAATTAAAAACTCATGGCTAGCCTGTGCCAGCTGACTCAGGCTAAGGGGCTGCTTAATTGCGGTGTAGACATTCAGGCTTAGGCTGGAGCCCAGGCTCGAGGACCCTGCAGCTGATGCTGGAAAGTCTACACCGCAATTGAACAGCCCTGCGAGCCCGAGTCAGCTGACACGGGCCAGCCGCAGGTGTCTGACTGCAATGCAGACATACCCTAAGATACTAGGTCATCACCAATAGAAAGGAAGCAGTCTGTGCAACCATAAATGTGAGAGATGGGGTCTGCACAACCGCCAGCAGAAGCGGGAGATGTCTCCAACATAAAAACCTCTGTTAAAAGGTGAACCACACTATGGAAAAAGAGTCTGAGAAGCCCTGTTCTAGGGACACAAGGATGTTATGGGTATATTATACAGAGCACACAGTGGGAGACTTAAGATTTCCCAATGGTGATTCCTTTAAAGAGAGTCTGGTTTACGTTTGTATTAATTGCACTGCTCTGCATCTATTCTCCCTCTTCCCGTCACAGTGAAACCTTGTCTCCCCTAGGACTCCTGGCACTGTTTGTCTAGCACCAGTACAACTCCACCAATGCTAGCAACGGGTGCAAGTATTTATATCATCATGTCATTTAAACCTAAGCAGGAGCCCCTAACCCTCTACATTACTGGTGGTGGTAGACGAATCATGAAAGAAATCATAGGGTAGATGCAACTTGGCTGTCTGCATCCATAAGCCAGAAGGGTGATTCTGCTGATTAGTCCAACAGCAGCAGGGGCTGTGTTCTGAGGAAACAGGCTGATTTATTGCATTGAGATGACAACCTTTCCTGTTGACTTGCGCTGGGTTACACGGCTAAAGGCTTCATTCACCTGCAAACACAAAACCTCAGTTGTTTATACAAAAGGGCATGTACGTGTACACACACACACACACACACACTCACACACACACACTCCTGCAACTGTTAGTTGCTACTGTAGCCATCTTAATTTGCATTCTCTACAGTAATTTCTAGAGACAGATGTATTTGGCCAAATTTTTATGATTGCCCTTTAAAAATCCCCCTGCACTTTTTTTGTGTATAAAGATTTGGGGCACATGAAAACTTGGATTTGTGCATGCAGTAAAAACGACTATGCACAAGGATTTCAGGGGCAGTTTTAGAGGGCAGGTTGGAACACTTTAAAAATCTGACCAAGTGACTTCACCACTGTCACATTCCAGAGTGCAATCCAGGCCAGCGAGGGGCTGTGTCAGCACCTGCCCTATAACCTTGGCTGCCTCATGATGCTTTGCTGTTGTAGCTCCCAACCTGGGCTGCCCACAAACAGCATGCAAGTCACACCCTGAATGTCTGTGTATAGCTGCAGCCCTGGCCAAGCAGCCCCAACCCCAGCAGCCTGTCAGCAACACACCAGTCACACTCTGGCTTCCACTAGCCTCGGTTACTACCTGCAGGGTGACCCCAACACACTACCAGTCCTGAGTTTCCCCACAAAACTTTGTTCTGCACTGTCCAGCCCTCTCCTGGAAAGTCCGGATATTAAGATTCGCTGCTCCTGTGAAGAGTCAATATTCAACAGTTTGCTACTTTAACTGGAGTTACCAAACAGTTCTATTTAAACACAGCACTGGATGGGTTTAGATTAAAAAATAAAAAGTTTGTTAACAAAAGAAGAATTCATTTAAAGTCCTATCAAGTATAAGAGATGAAGTTAGAAATGGGTAAAAGCAAATAAAAGTGAAAACACAACTAAACATTTAAAACCTAATCTAGCAAGTTTCGGTTCAAGGTTTTGTTCAAAATGGCCTCTCTGACCCCCTGTCCCCGTCCCCGTCCCCTTCCAGCAAGATGGGAATTGACCCTTTCCTTCGTCAGGATCTCTCTCCAAGACCCAGAGGCGCTGGGGCCTTTGTCTTCTTAAGTGAAAGAGAGAGAACTTGAGGTTCTCTGCCCCTTTCTTGATAGTCCAGTGAACCTTTGAAGCAGAGTCTTCTGAAGGTTACCCTTCAAAGTAAAGTTTATTCATGCAGTAAAGAAGGTGACACAGAAGCTCATGGTGAAGGAGGCTCCATGTCTTTTATCTCCTCTCCTGTGTTTGCTGAAGTGAAAATTTGCTTTGTGGCCTGCCATTTCCCCCTCTTACTGTCTTGAGGACTCTGTTTACTACTTATCTGTAAATTGAGATAAATACACATTCCTTGTTTAGGACAGACCTGCTTAACAACCGTTGCCTAGGCTGCGTGGGAGTGAACGTGTGCTAATAATGTCAGACAGGGGGATGTCATTACTTTACATAGAATGTTGCTACATACATTTCATCATGATAATATTGACCAGTGAGTTATTAGTTTTCCAGTGATACCCCACAAGGTATATTTTGTACAAAGGTTATTACAAGGGTGCGTAGCATGTGAATAGAGGGATGCTTTTGGTCACAACCACAGAACCATGCACTTCTTTACCCACATGCATACCTCAATTAAAATCATTACCCACAAAAAAATGGAAATTCACAGAGATCAAATTTCCCTACCCACTCACCATGGGGTAGCATTAGAGACACTCAAAAGCTTAATCCTTTACTGGGTGGGTTAATTTCTCTATCTTTGGCCTAACTATTTCTATCAGCCATTTTCAACTACTGCAAGGTGAAGACAAAGTCAGTACCAGTTTCGTTCATCATGCTAAGGAGTTTGGCCAGAACGGCCCCCAGGGTACCTGGTGCTTTCTTATCAGCTCAAAAGAATGTTACTCAGATTGGTCTCTGCAAAGTCTGACACTGAAAATATCAGAGACTGTTATTGCTAGTTGCATTTCCCAGAGTTTCCTGGTCAGTCTTGTTGCCACTGGCCCATCATCTATGAGGCACAGATGTCTGGTTTAGGTGGCTAACATGCTCTTTAGGTTTGAGATGTAATTATGTGTGTGACGCTATGAATAGTGGAATTTAAATGCAATCAGATTGTTACTCTAAAGTACAACAGGTGGTAGTCGTGACCAGGGAGCCCCTGAATGCCAACTGGCAGAGGGCCCACCACACTGTAACTCACATCAGGCCTGACACACTCATTGCTCCAACACACTTATCATAATCTATATCTAAGAGGTGTCATGTAAGGCATCATACTCAAACTTATAACATACTGGTCATTAATATTATTGCGTGGTGTATGTACAGGCAGTGTATAAAGAATTATAGATGTGTGCTGGAAATATGTTTGTAGCATGTGGCTGGGAAACAGTGCATAAGCCCAGCCTGTCCGAGACAAAAGAATGCGTTTCAGCCACTTGACTGTGTCACCAGTGTAAATTGAGCAAGACGAGGCCAGAAACAATGGAAGTATATTTACATGGAAGGTAAACTAAGTCATCAAACTAGCAAATGGGGGAGATGACTACTTAACAATCAGGGCAGTGGATAGAGGCTGTACCCCCAGGAAGCCTTCCTGCCTCTTGAAACAGAGACGATGGACTTTGGAAAATATATGCCGAAACAGTAAAAATTTTTGGCATCCATCACCAGAGGGACACAAAAGGCCAGAACTCTTCATGTCAGAGAAAAGCAGATCCCTCAACCGAGGGAGTTGAAGTCTCTAAGAACTGACTATAGGTGCGAAACCTGCTTTGCAAAAGATTGTAACTTGCTGAAGTTTTAGTCACTAGAAAGTGTGTTTTGTTTGTAACTTTTCATGTTTCTTTCACTCTTACTTGAAATCATTTAAACCTATGTTCTTTGTTAATAAACATTCTTGTTTTATTACAAAACCATCTCAGTGCTGTGTAGTGAAGTGAAGTTTAAATCTTCAGCTAATCTAACAGGCTGCTGTATGCTCTGTCTTTCTGGAGGCAGCGAACTTAACAACTTCTATGAGAGGGACTGAACAGTGTCGAAGGATGTCTCTGTGGAACTCAGGCTCACCGACTGACCAGCAAGGCAAGGTTTGGACTGGCAGAGTCCTGAAGAGTTTGCTGGCAAGGCAGACAAGCTGGCACGCCCGGGAGCTGGCACATGGCTTATCAGTAGCAAAGCTCACTCTTGCCGAGGCAGAGTGGTGACCGAGTGGCTCCCAGTTCTGGGTGACCTGAGCAAGACATCACTGCAGTGCAGTTTGTTCTGGAGGAACAAACAGCTCAGCATTTGTATTGGAATTTGCTCTTTGTGGGCTTTTTGTCTCAGGGATCCATTTATGAGGCTGAAATAACACAAGAGCTGACCATCTCATGGCACTTCCATTATCCAGGAACTGAAACGCCAGAAAATTACTAACCAGCGTGTAATTCTGACTCCTCTAATGCAGGGGTTCTCAAGCTTTTTCCTTCTGAGCCCCCCCCCAACATGCTGTAAAAACTCCATGACCCACCTGTGCCACAATAACTGTTTTTCTGCATATAAAACCTAGGGCTGGTGTTAGCAAGCAGGGCAATTGCCTGGGGCTCCATGCCACAGGGGCCCCCACAAAGCTACATTGCTCAGGCTTCGGCTTCAGCCCCAGGCTTCAACCCTATGCAGTGAGGCTTCGGCTTTCTGCCCTGGGCCCTGGCGACTAACGCTGACCATGCTTGGAGGACCCCTGAAACCTGCTAGCGGTCCCCAGGGGGCCCCGGACTCCAGGTGGAAAAACACTGCTCTAATGGCTCCCAGAGTGAAAGATGTAAATTAAGACATAGCTGCATCCCCCAATTCACCTTTAAAAAAAAAAAAACAAACAATTTTACCCCATTGTATTACTGACTCTTAAGTTGTAAGGTCTTTGTGAAAGGAGCTGTAATTTTTACAGGTCTGTACCATGGCTAGCACAAGGGGGGCCCAACCTGGCACTTCCAAAACATAAATACTAAATAATCATCATACATATTGGAGACATTTAAAGCCAATAACACTGGAATGAAGGAGAAAAAAAAAGGGGGATTTCTTGAAGAACCGGGGTTCTGTGCCGTGTTTGAAACTGGAGGGTTTTTTGTACGTATCAGAGGGCATTCACCACACACAAAATTCACTCAGATGCAAAACTTTACTCTAAACAAAGCAATCCTGAGAGCTCGACACTGCATAAGGTCATCACAGTTTATGAAAATATACATGTCAAGGTTTTAATTTAATCAACAGCAGCATTTACTTCCTGTAGTGATGACAGGTTCTTGGCAGATACCGGAGTTTAGAGTTAGTTCTGAGGCATAGATCAAACCTACGTGTCTCCTAGTTGTAACTCATATTTTTCCCTCCCTAAGAGTTATGGGGCATAGGTGCTGGAACGAGGGGGGGCGGGGAGGACGCTGCATCCCCTGGCTTGAAGTGGTTTCCATTTCAGTTTGGTTCAACGGCTCTCAGCATCCCCACTATACAAATTGTTCCAGCGCCCTTGTACAGGGGCTCAAGCTTTGGGCCTTCCCATTCCCCAGGGAAGTGCTGATAGCAGCCCACCACATTAGACAGCTTCTTCCTTCTATTCAGCCTCTCTCAGAGAACTGTGAATCCTGCCAGCGAGTGTCATCGTGGGCAGCACTTTACCTCTTCCAGTTTGAAGACCGCTCCTACATGAGGTTGGATCCGTCTTTCCTGGCAGTACCAAAGAGCAGAGGAGAGTGATGACGAAAAAACAGGAAAGTCCTCTTCCCGGTATCGACCCCAGAACACTCCCAAGGCAGACACGTTCTTCAGAAGCAGCAGGTTGGCTGGGACAGAGGGGATTGCTCCTCCAGCAAAACCCACCACCACAATCCTGCCCTCCCAAGCCAAACTGCAAAGGGGAGGGAAAGGAGATGTATTTAATGAGGAAGAGCAAGCATAGGGTAAAATTGTGATCCCACTGGGGAAAAGGGGGAGGGGGGTGCCTCTTCTTCATTGGGACCAGAGTTTGGTCCTTAATGAAACACTGTCTCAAACTCAACACTAGGGTTTTAGCTCATTGAAGACAGGACTTTGCCACTACACCATCTGCAGGTAGGATCTCATCAGAATTTGTCAACTAAAAGGGGAGCATCTGGGCCAACCGTTTCCAAGTTTGAGCACCTGCTGGTGGCCTTTAGAGAGCTGGCTGGTCACATGATGCTGACTGATCCATGTTGTTTCTAGCTTTTACATCGCATTAAGGACAGGTGAAAACACATTAAATATTTTCCTACTGTTACTTTTCCAGGTGAGCAGTTACTATATTTCACACAGGTACATACTGCGATTGCCAGTGAGGGTTACCCACAGAATGATCTCTTTATTAAGTTTCAGAACCTCAGCTCTAGTAGTACTTGCATGGGGCCCCCTAGGGAAACTGGCTCTGCACGAACTGGTTCTGCTAATTAATCAGAGACACTTTCTCTCAGTCAGTACTCAACCAATGCCCCAGTGTGGCACTAAGTAGCACCCCTCTTTCTGATTACATGTGAAAAAAATCAAGGCCCTAAATATCTGTGGTCAGTAAAGAGCGAGATTGGGTGCTATATCCAAACTCCAGCTTGCAGAATTACATTCTGGTGGCTCCCTACATTCCCTTGCAGTTTCAACTGGATACTTGTGAAGCATGCAGAGGGAGGGTCCCAGAAGACCACACATTTCATACCCCTAATGCACGTCACTCAGAACGTAACAGAATCGTATTTCAACGCACCTATGTAATGCCTCTTTGAAGATGTCCCCTCCAACGGCATCAAGAACTACATTGACCCCTCTGTTATCTGTAAGTTTCTTCACCCCCTCCTTTAGGCTCCCTTGGGTGTAATTCACGCTGTGGGCTGCACCCTTCTGCAGAGCCAGGTTGCATTTGTAATCACTTCCAGCTGCTGCTATCACCTGAAAACAAAGGAGGAGCGAGTGTTACAGTCTGATCTTTCATGGTGGAAGACAGCATGAGCTCTCCGAGGCAGGGACTGTCTTTTAGTTCTGTGTTTGTACAGCACCCTAGCACAATGGGGTCTGAGGCTCCTAAGCACTATGATAATGCAAATAAAATAAAATAAAATAATAAAGGCATCTTTGCTCAGAGTGATACAATAGGTGCTTTAGCATGTTATCATAATCTATTACAGTACCAATAACTTAAATAAAAGCTCCATAGTAATGTATCTTCTATGTCAATGTCCCCAAAAATGCTTTACAAATTTAAAATGATGTACAAACTGTATCTATATCACTGTACCATTCACTGAAGAACAACCACTGCTGGGATGGAACGCAGCAGCTGTTGGACAACGCACAGCAGCACTATATAACAACTTAAGGCAGAAAGAGAAGACCAGTCCCATCTGCAATTGAAACTTCAGGGGAATTTAGAGAGAGACTGCATTTACCCAAACTGGTCCCTGGTCTGGGTTTAAGCCTAGTACTCCTACCAAATGTGCCACAGGATTTTTAACATACCCCAGTGCATTTGGAGGAGTTTTCCATCCCTAGAAGCATGATAGGATTTCACTCAGAGGGGAGACTACCAGCCGCTGAATTACTTGCTCCAGATTTCTCCAGTCAGACTCTGTGCTTTGTGGGAGCTCTATCACGCACAACAAACCATTTTGTTGGATCATATTAAAGAAGTTCTGTATTAAAATCACAAATGAGTTTGATTCCCCATAGTTTAAATTCCAGGGTATTACTAATTAAGAGGTCTCTTGGTTTTTGGTCTCTTGCTTTTACTGTTTCTCTCCCTCTCTGTGTGAAACTTGCAAGCTGCTAATTGTGTTAGTACATCCTAAGACAGAGTCAGTTCTCAAAGCAATACTTTGTAACAACAGAAACAGCACACAGAGACTCCCTTTATCTCGCTTTGTTAACAATTGTGATTAAAATAGAGATAGAGGATGTATGTGGATGGATGCTTGGTGTGGATAATAACTGAATGATCTGGGAGGTGCCAGCCTAAGAATCCAGTGTCTATCGGCCGAAGAAGGTATAAAGTGGAAACAACCAGAGGACCCCCGGAGGGCAGACTGGAATCCACCCAACAGCCTCAAGGATGGGAGAACCGAAGAACAACACGGAGCCATCAGGAATGTGCCATCTGCTGATTGATTCAGCAACAGCATGATGAACTAATTCCTATAGACTGGCATAGGAATAAATTCCTATAAAAATGGACTCTAGAAACAGAGCTTTGCGGTCTGATTCTGCAAACCAACTTCCAGGAGCATCAGATGTGCATCTGACAAGGCCCTGCTCCCTCCTCGTGTCCAGGCCACCTGGCCAGTGGCTTGGCAAGAGCAACTCTAAGACTGGTAACTATGATAACAACCTTGCAGAACCTGTGTGTGTGTGTATGAATGAATGTGTGAATAAATATGAAATTGAATGGAATGTTATAGCTAAAACTAACTGCTTACTATGATTCTTTCTGTATTCACCATAAATGTGGCATTTTGCCTTATTCCCTTTAATAAGATCCTGCTGGTTTTTATTTTATTGGTATAACAATTTGAACTGGAGTTATTTCTGCCTTGTCACTTTGTGCAGTTCTTTTTACTGAGGGGTGTTCTACTTATAAAAAAAAAAAGCCTCTCTTTTAAAAACCCTAACAGCATACTATTTCCTAACCCGATTTATACTGTGATGGCTGGAATAAATTCATCTCTTATTCCCATAAACATCAAACGCTATTATCCCTTAGATCTACATTGGTTCAAATCTAAAGGATGAAATTTTCAAAATGACCCAGTGGCTTAGGAGCCTAAGTCCCATTGACTCTCAAAATGAATTAGGCCTGTAAGCACGTAAATCACTTTTTAAAATGGGACTCAGGAGCCTAAGTCACTTGGGCACCTTTGAAAACATTCCCCCTCTATCTCCCACTTGGATAAGAGCTCAATTCTGCACTGGAAAGAATCAAGGGAAATTATGGGGCTCCACGGCGGAGCCCATAGCAGGAGCACAGGGAAGGCAGGTGTTTCATGAGGGGAAAGTGCATTAGTGTGTGTGCTGTGTTTGAGAGATGGAGCCTGAGAGATGGAGTCTGGTTTACTGGATTACCAGCCCCTCTGACTTTACAAATCTCCTGGGTTCTGTTCCCTACTCTACCGATAATTCATTGGGACACCTTGGGCAACTCCCAACATCTACGTCCTTTTTAGTATGCACATCTTGAAAATGGAGAATACTACTTGCCTACTTTGTGAAACTTAATTCATTAGTGTTTGGAAAGGTCTCTGAATGCTCAGATGGAGCATGCTATAGAAGGCACACTCATTACTACAGTGGGACACACGTAGAATACAGATTCATTTGAAAAAGGGACATACCTTTGCCTTGAGAACGTTAGCAGCTACATCGATAGCAGCAAGCCCCGTGGCCCCAGCAGCTGCTGTCACTAAAACCGTTTCCCTGAGACAGAGACAGAGACTGAAATAAACAGAGCTTCCCTCCACAACAGAAAAGCAGTGCATTGCGTGCCTGCCTACTAACAATACACAGTTTCCCATTTGTCTTGAAGATGAAAGATCTCCATGATCAGCTTAAAAAGACTCCAGCAATTGATTTTACCCCATGATCCATTTCAGTAGTAAGAATTTTCCACATCTTCAATGGTATTCTCTTTCCCAGAATCTTTCCCAAAGGCATGAGTAAGGGGAGCTTGACTTTTCCCAAACACCAGTTCATACCCGGATGAAATGAGTCATCGTATCCCCCATCGAGTGTGAATCTTTTACATTCCAAAGTGAAGTGATCTGATAAGAGAATATCTGCATGTTTTCAATTACTGTACAAGTAGATATACATTTACTCCAGTTCAGGTATAACAGCAAACTGTGCTGTTTGCAGAGTTGGGGCAAGGGAGAGGACGGTTTTTCTGTTAAGGCACAAGAGTTGGCTCTGGATGCTGTTCTTACCTCTGCCACGGACTTCCTGTGTCAATGTAGACAAGTCAATTCTCTCTCTGGCTTTGTTCTCCCTATTTCACATACACACCCTAAAGTCTCCACAGAGCACTTGCTGCACTTCCAAATCCCAATCCAGAAGTTAAAAAATTCCCAACCAGGCTCCTTTGCTCCCAAAGGGACCAATGTTTCCCTTAAAACCTGCCTGTAACAGTACAAGCCTACTTATCCAAAAGGAGAGCTGTTGTCTTAGGATAAATTAGCAGAGCAATGCATGGCATGCAATGATATTGGGCAGGAAGGCTAATTTTCAGCTAAACAACAGGTTGGACTTGGACACAATTTGCCTGCCTGGGATACAGCCCAACCCTACCAGCTATTTCACAGCAATATGCACTGGTTTCTGGGGCTTATAAAAATCCCTCTGTTCAGCAGGTTTTTGCCAAGAACATCACAAGGGTATAAAATGCTTTTTAAAATATGTAATTTTAAATTGTTGAAAAGCTATCAATGTGTTTGTGTACTTTGAGTTTATAAAAGCAGCCCTCATGCAGGCTATGGGCTTTGAACAATTTTAAAGTGACACATACACAATTTGTTGACTAGTGTATTGCCTTTTCACAGTGACCATCTTCCGTGTGGGAAGTGACCCCATCACCGTAGTATCTGAGCACCTCCCATACATCAGTCAATATTATTTATTTATGACATCCCTCTCAAATAGGGAATGAGCCCCATTTTACAGATGGGGAAACAGAGGCACAAAGATTAAGTAACTGGCCCAGGGTGACACAGTCTGTGGCAGAGAAAAAAACTGAGCCTAAGGTCTCCCGAGTCCCAGTACAGGGTTAACCATGAAACTATCCTTTCTCCATAAATGTAAAGGTACCATCAATATCTGTGATGGATTTCCCGCCATATGAACCCAGGACTCCTCACACCTCCATACTCCCAGACCGCCAAGCCTCTCCAGCATGTCCCAGGTCAGCCTGGAAGGGTCTCCCCTCCACTAATGAACCATGTATCACTGCCCTTATAATCAGCCCCCACAGACAAAACTGGGACTCAAAGCCCAGCATAGTGAGCCCTCCACTAAGCTCACCCGATGAAACCAGAGAGCAGCATAATCTCCCGAGGAAGCAGCAGACATGTCATCCCTTGGAACTAGACAAAGGACTAGAAAATATACTGTAAAGAATAGATCTTCCCCAGCTGGGAGAGGTAGGGAGATGGGCTGTCTGTCAGAACAGGTCATTTCTATCCCTAGCAGCTATTATTCTATCCTAAAAAGAAAAGGAGTACTTGTGGCACCTTAGACACTAACCAATTTATTTGAGCATGAGCTTTCGTGAGCCACAGCTCACTTCATCAGATGTCATCAAAATGTCATCTGATGAAGTGAGCTGTGGCTCACGAAAGCTCATGCTCAAATAAATTGGTTAGTCTCTAAGGTGCCACAAGTACTCATTTTCTTTTGCGAATACAGACTAACACGGCTGTTCCTCTGAAACCTATTCTATCCTAGTATTTTCCCATAAAATACTAATGGATGCAGATCTGAGTCTTTTCTTTTTTTCAGAAGCATTGCTTCATATGTCCTCAAGGCAGATCCAGCATCCAGTTCTGGTTTACTTTGTGGTTCTCACTCTTGGTGTGGACAGTGACACTTAACAAAACACACATCTTCACCCATACACACAATGCATATTAATTTCCACTACACTCTTGTCAAACTCATTGTGAATCAGTGGCCAGGGAAAACCAGCAGCCTCACTCCCCACGGGACAAAAAGACAGCCTGATCTAAGAAAAGGAGTACTTGTGGCACCTTAGAGACTAACCAATTTATTTGAGCATTAGCTTTCGTGAGCTACAGCTCACTTCATCGGATGAAGTGAGCTGTAGCTCACGAAAGCTTATGCTCAAATAAATTGATTAGTCTCTAAGGTGCCACAAGTACTCCTTTTCTTTTTGCAAATACAGACTAACACGGCTGTTACTCTGAAGCCTGATCTAGTGATCTGAGCAGAGTTTAGAAACCGGGAATGCCTGGATGTTATTCCCAGCTTCACCACTAACATAACGGCATGACCTTGGCCACAAGACCTCTTCTATGTCTTTGTTTCCCCATCTACAAAGCGGTAACAATAATAATACTTAATGAGTTCACTGAGTGCCTCGACATTATTTTGATGTATGCCTAATATGGGAGATTAGATGTTAGGAGTATAGCTGGCTGGAGAATAATTCTGTTTCGTGACAACCTTCCAGACTTTGAAATTTGTTTTTGTTCCCATACAGAACACAAGCAAAAACACTTCAAGCATTTTTGTGAAATGGAATTATGTGAAAATGTCCTTCTTGAATTGAAAAGGTCAGGTTTTCAGATCTGGGGGGTCTCTCTCTCTCTCTAGAAGTGAGCAGAAAGACCACCCTGGATCTCAGAAGCTTTCCCATCAAAATCAGTAGGTCTTCATGAAACATTTGGACTTTGACAAAAACAGTATATTCCAATGACCAAAAGGTTTTGTTGAAAATATTGCAACCAGCTCTATTTATGAGATATGACGTTTGATTTTTTGCAAATGAAACGCATTCTGCAGGGACTAAGTATCGTTACTGCTGGACATGTTATGCTTTGGACTCCTCTGATCACTTACCCTGGCTGCGTGTGTGCTCTATGATCCAGGGCCAAAATGGCTGTGCCATAAGACACAGGCAATGCTGCAGCTTCTTCGTAAGAAACACCTTCTGGGATTGGCCACAGCATCTACATGAGAAGACAGAGGAACACTCTTAATCCTGAAGAGGGATAGAGGATGAAATTCTGTCTTTTCCAACTGCTTTAGTGAGCACTTTGAACATGATACAGAAGCATGCTGTTAAGCTGTCCTAAACATTACACTATGTGAAACCGTTAATTTCATCCAAATAAGTTTTAATGCAATTTTTCTTATCAGCCCTTTCTGCGTTTTCGAGGATTCTCTAGAGCAAACCCCAGTTCATGGCAATGAGGACAGGAGAACAAACATCAAAAAGAAAGGCACAGACTGGAAGATCTCACAGGAGCCAAAAACTAAACAACATGAGACATAAAACCTTTTGCAATAATGGAAGACACATTTATATTTAAATTGTAGTTACCTTCTGATCAGCTACGCACTCCCCAGCCATTGCACTAGTGCCAGTCACACCAATTACCCTGTCTCCCTGCCAGAAAAGCACCAGTGGACAGGTGTTAGGAGGAAAACAATCACTTGATCTCACCCCTCTCTTTGGATTAAGTCTTTGATCTTCCTTCTTTCCCAAGAAGGACCCAAGGACCCGAGCAGCACAAACTAAACCTGATAACAGTTCAGGCAGCAATTGCATTAATCAGATACCTCCCCACCCTTCCCACCTTTGCTTCTTTTTCCAGACCCTTATTCCTCTCTCTGATGGGACTTGAAATACTACCACCTTCCTGCACACACCTCCAACCCATCAAGCAGAGCTCACAACTTTACAGATACTATAGTGCGGACGGCTTAAACAGTACCCCTACACTGCATCCTCGATACTCCCTGATCAACCGGGAATCCATTCCTAACCCCAGCACCACTACATCTCACTTACCTCCTGCACTGTGCTGACGTTCGCTCCAGTCTCCATCACCATCCCTGAAAACTCCATTCCTAAAGCAGGAGAAAGTCATGCACATCCCACAAACACTGAACCAGGCCACTTCCCCAGCTGCACTCAGCACTGTCCTCTGCAGATGGGATCTAGGGATTCTCACCTACTCCAACTCTGGACTGGGGTGGGGAGAGCAGAGAGACAGTGAGTTCAGCTAACGTTAGCCTCGTGTGGCAGATGCAGGCAGCTCTACTCTCCCTGGCTGGCAAAGATATTGCAGTACTTGGAAAAGACAGAAATGCCAAAGGAGAGCTGTGTAAGCTCGGTGACTTGTCTCTCTCACCAACAGAAATTGGTCCAATCAAAGATACGGACCTCACCCACCTTGTCGCTCTAAAGATGCTCAGAGTCCAGCTGCTCTTTGATTTTTAACTCTGAAAATGACCATATTTGCCAGATTACCAATCACCAGATTATCCATGATGGCACAGGTTTGCATACAACATATGGGATACAGCCAGCATTCGAAGGCTGCTTTAGAGAAGATTTAGAAGCAAAGCTGCTAGAAGGCCAGAAGGTGGCACTGTGGGAATGCAGACTGATAAAACAGTACTGCGTAAATGGGGCGGGGAGGGGAGGGGAGAAGAGTAGAAGTAAGGACTTTTCTAAAGTTATTGTAAAGTAAAAGCTACGTGGCTGTCTGTCTTCAGAGGCGTTCTTATGGCATCAGTGGGACTGTCAGCTCCCAGGCTGGCAAGGGCTGAAGGAGATATTCAAGCCTGAAGGTTTTAGTGCAGCAAACAAACACAGCAGAGGTGCTGCATGTTCACCGCTACAAGAACAGGAGGTTCGGTGGTTGGAGGCAGGAGGAATTCAGCAAGGGGATGGCATATGCCTAGAATGTCAAGCATGGAGAAAGCCACACACACTATACAGAATGATCCCTGCAGACATTATACTTTAAAGCACTGGTTCTCAACCAGGGGTATGTGTACCTCTGGGTTTACGCTGGGGTTTTCTTGGGGTACATCAACTTATCTAGATATTTGCCTAGTTTTACAACAGGTTACATAAAAAGCACTAGTGAAGTCAGTACAAACTAAAATTTCATACAATGACTTGTTTATACTGCTCTGTATACTATACACTGAAATGTAAGTACAATATTTCTATTCCAATTGATTTTATAATTATACGGTAAAAATGAGAAAGTAAGCAAGTTTTCGGTAATAGGGTGCTGTGACAGTTTTGTATTTTTATGTCTGATTTTGCAAGCAAGTAGTTTTTAAGTAAGGTGAAACTTGGGGGTAGGCAAGACAAGTAAGACTCCTGAAAGGGGTACAGTAGTCTGGAAAGGTTGGGAGCCACTGCTTTAAAGGGCAGCATAATAACCTGGACTGCATTGGTGGATGCTATGAATTCCTGAATTCTAACCCCAGTTCTCCCTTTGAGTTGCCGGCAACCTTGGGCAAGGCACATAGCCTCTCTGTGTCTCACCGTGCCCATCTGTAAAGTGGGTTTCATTATACTTATCAACCTCTCACCCAGCATTGTCATGAGGATTAATTAGTTAAGCTTTGCCCAGCGCTTTGAAAATACAAAGGTCTGTATAACTGAGAGGTGATAAGAGACTGTGGCCACAGTGAGGTCTTGTCTATGCTAGGAAAATCCATCAGCGTAGAATTAGCACATTTTAATTTATATGATGCTAAACCTGACTTAAAGATGACAGGTGCAAAACATGTGTTAGCTGGATGTGGTTAACCATAAGGTTGTGGCAGAGCTTAATTTGTAATGAAAAAGGTGCTGGAGCTCAAGCAATTAGGTGCCGGGACTCAAACAAACTTTTTACATTCATAACCGATGCAGCAAGACCAGAAGTGCCAGGGCTCAGCCCTGGCAAGCCCTGGCACATATTAAGCACTGCATTGGAGGCAGGGTCACACAGAGAGTTTTCCTTCCCCGGAGCAGCATGACAGTATACAAAGACAAGAAACTGAGAGCCACAAGGAGGCAGCACTTGGGCGAATACACATCCCACTTACTGTGGGTCATTCTTTTGTGGAAGGACAAAGGAATAGTAAGTGTTAAGAATGGGAAATCCATCCCAATCCCCTTGTGCCTGGGAATGTCTGGGAAAACATATTTAAATATTTTCTTCCTTATAATAAGTCAGTAGGACATGAAGACATCCACCTCAAGGCTGTTGGTCTGACTCCAGTCAAGGTCAGAAATGTCCACAATTTGTTTCCATCGTCTGGCTCTTCAGTTGCCTATATTAAATGAGTGAGGAGGTCTCAGCCCGGTTCCTAATGGACAGGGTGTCCACGACACAAAACAACACCACCCCAATTTCTCTTAATTCATCAAAGGCTACGCTGCACCTATTCTATAGCTAGACAGCTTTATTCCCCAGCACTGTCAATCTGTTCCCAGCACTAAATTCACTCAGAATTAAACACAGTAAAGTTAGTCACTCTATAACCTGCACAGATCAGACAGACTCCTACTTACCAGGAGTGAATGGAAGACAATGCTTCTTTTGGTACAAACCCTTACAGGCCAAGATATCAGCAAAATTTACTCCACAGTAACGGACGCCAACCCTGACCTGAAAGAGAGAAGGGAACCTTTCAAGCAGTAGAAACATTTTAAACAGATAACTTCACTGCAGTAGCATTTTAAAACAGCTCTCCCCTTTCCCAGGGACTTACACAGTCCCCATTACCACAGTATCTGAGCACCTCACAATCCATCATGTGTTTCTCCTCCCAACACCCCTGGAGGGAGAGCAAGGCTATTATCCTCATTATACAGTCAGGGACTTGAGGCACAATGAAGCTGAGTGACTTGTCCAAGGCCACACAGGATGTCTGTGGCAGAGCAGGAAATCAAATTGCAGTCCTTCTAGTCCCAGGCCACAATCCAACCCTCACTCAAAAGACTCCCATGTTTTCTGAGGCACAGACCAGATCCTCAGCTGGTATAAACCAGGGTAGTTCTGTTGATTTTATTGGAGCTATGCAGATTTACTCCAGTGGAGGAGTTGGCCCCAAGTGTTTTGGTGGAAGATGGCATCCACTGAATAGCAGTTACTATCTCAGGATACTTTTCTATTATGTACTACTTTACTATTCTTTTAATAAGTTTGTTTCTTTGACACTCTCCTCAGCACACCCAGAACTGTCAGCCACTGTGTTACTTCTTCCTCAGCAAGACAGTGTTGCTGGAGCTTGGACTGGGTGTCAATCTCACCAGCAAACTCTTTGAGACTCTGCCAATTTTAACCTGGACTTGCAGAGAACATCCCGCAAACCCCAGTTCCCGAGTTCCCCAGAGACATCTCTGTTGTGTCCAGTCCCTCTCACTGGACACCCACAGAAATGTTTAAGTTTACTGCCTCCAAAGAGACAGCATAAACGCCAGCCTGTTTGGATTCATGCTCCACTTCAATACACAGCACTGAGATGGTTTATATTAAAACCTAAGAATATGTTTATTAATAAAGAATATAAGAATGTGAGCGATACAGAGCAGAGATAACAAACAGAAAATGGTTACAAGCAAAACAAAATAAAACATGCTTTATAGCATCCAAGACTTAACTATAGCAAGCCACAATCTTTGCCTAAACAGCTTTCTCACTTATATCAAGCTACCACATTGCTAGCCCTTCTGGCTAAGTGATGGATAACTAAGGAATTCTCTCCTTATTATAGTCCAATAAACCTTTGAAATGTATTCCTCTGAAGTGTAACCCCACAGAAAGTTCTTCTCCCCCACTGTTTGTCTTCTCCTGTTGACTTCCCATCCCCGCTGTTGACTCATTGTCTCTGACATCACCTTGCTCAGTTTACACTGGAGACATAGGCAAACAAGCAAAACAACTTTCCTTTTTCTAGGACAAACTTATTTATCAAGTCTGCCCCCAGAACAGATTTTAGGAACACATTTCCAGCACACATACATAACTGTTTACACACCATCCGTACACATCATGCAATGCCACTCGTAACCAGTGTGTCACCAGTTCTTATATGATACCTCACTCAATACACTTTTATAGTACAATAATATTCTATATGATCAATTGATTCAGCTGCTTATTCTTTAGGTTTCAGACACTGGGGTGTCTGGACCCTGATTGTCACAGTTTTGTTATCAGCTGTTCATTTCAATGGGCTTCTCTGTGCCTTCACATAACATATTATCTGTGTACACACAAGCACTAAGCACTGGACTATGGATTTTCACCTGGTTTTACCTCATCCCAGTGCTGATAATTAGCACTTGGGTTTTACTTGATCAAAGTGCAGTACAACTACAAAATAAGCCTCTCACCAGCTCTGTGAGGTATGGATTGCCACCATATTACAGACAGGGAACCTGAGACTCAGACGGGAAGGGACTCGACTAAAGTCACTCAGCCATTGACCCAGTGGTTGTTTTAAAGTCCCAAACCATCCTCTTTCTTACTGAATTCGTTTCCTTTCTAATCCGCACACAACCTTCATCTCTAAAGCTCTTATTATTTAGGGAGGCAGTGTGGCCTAGTGGCTGGAGCACTAGACTGGGACTTAGGAGCTCTGCATTCTAATCCTGGCTCCGCCACTAGTCTGCTGTGTGACTTTGGGCAAATTAATTTCACTGCTATGTGCCTCAGTTTCCCCATATGTAAAAGGGAGATAATGATACTGACTCCTTTGTAAAGTGTGTTGAGCTCTACGGATGAAAAGATTTTTGTATTACTGCAGTAGACTCTAGAGGCTCCATTGTGCTAGGCACTGTACAAACAGTCCCTGTTTTGAAGAGCTTGCAATGTAAATGGACAAGACAGACCAAAACCAGGAGGGGAAATGAATTTTGGATTGTGGGTGACAGTGAGGAGAGAGTGAGGGAGACTAAGTGAGGAGGCGGGTGCTGTAATTAGGGGTGAGAGATGATCAGGGCACAATTCAGGGGTGGGCAGATGGTGAAGAGGAAGAGCAGATCTTAGAGATGTTAAAGAGAAAAAACTGGCAGGATTTAGCAACAGCACTGATGTAGGGGAAAGAAACCAAGAGGACTAGCATAGGACTCCAAGGCTGTGAGCCTGAGACACAAGGATGTAGGTGGGTTTGCCAGCTAAGGGACATTAGATTATTCAAAATAATCAGCAATTCTGCGCATCTCAATCCCAGTACCTCATGGGGCTGCAGAGAAGGGGATGGGAGGTTCCTAATAATCAATGGCTTTGTCAGCTCGGTGCACAGCACTGCTTGATAGTTCCGGCAGGACTGCAATAGGATGTCATTGTTCAGGGAGAACAATCCCAGAAGCTCTTTACCTGAAGAACTGCTCCTGCAACAAAAGAGTATGCGCTAGCGTTATACTGTGCTGTGTACCAGCCAGTTGCCACCTTATCACCCCAGAAGTAGCTGCATTTCATAAAGCATTTTGGTTATAAAAGATATCACTGAAAGTATTTTATACAGCAAGGACTGCTTGCTATACATAGGAGACTGCCGATAACCTCTCCATGAAGTGGTTGAGCTTGCATTACGCTTAATTTTAAAAACAAAGTGGGAGAGAAGTTTACTGCTGATGAAAGACTCCAGTAACACTGGACCCAATAGTACTTAGACCTCCGGGGTAGGGACTGTTCTTGGTTATATATTTGTACACTGCCTAGCTTACAATGAGGTTGCTCTAGGTACAACCCAAATAATAAGCCGCCACCGCCACCACCCTGGTTTGAGTTAAGTATGGTGCAGGTGGTGAAATTTAACCACTGCCATTTCTTAACACCTTTTGTCCCTAAAACAAGGGTGCTTGGGGTTACCTAAGGTTTCTTGCCTGCTGGAGAAGAGGCTGCCCTCTGCTCAGTGTCAAAGTCTCCCATGTGCCTACTCCTAGTTTTTCTTTGTCACCCTGTCAGTGCAATAGCTGCAATGCTGCCAAACCTCAAGCATTCAAAAATATGAGATTATATATATGCGCATGTATAAAAATTGGGGCGGGGGGTCTTTTTATTTGCCTCCTGGGTTCAGAGCCTTTAGGGGCTCTGAGGCCATGTTTTCAAGCTTTTCTCCCCAACCAGGAGAGCTAGAAACTTACTTTAAGGGGAAAAGTCGCAAAACGGCGTTTTCTCACCTAATCCCGAGATCCCAAGGAGCTGAGCGCCTTTAAAAACAAACCACATGTTGCAAGAGTTGACAGCAGTATTCCCCCCCAGCCCTAGCCCCTCACTCCCGGCAGGAAAGCCCCAGCACTGCCCCGCTCTCTGCACGGGATGGGAGGCGTGCGCCCCGAGAGGTGGAACTTCGCGGGGGGATTGCGGCTGGGAGCTCAGGAAGGGGCGGGAGCGAGCAGAGCTGGGGCTCCAAGGGAGCACAGGCGGTGCAGGGCACGACTGGGGGGGGAGCGCGGGTCGGTTCAGGGCTGGGGTCGGGGGGAGCGCGGGTCGGGGCAGGGCCGGGCCGGGGTCCCGGGGCGGGGAGCCGGCGGAGCGGCGCACGGCGGGAAGAGGGGACTGCCCCGGGGCCGCTGGAAGGGGAGCCGAGCTCAGACCTGCAGCGCTTCAGCCGGAGCAGCCAGCCAGGCCCCAGGCCCCAGCGCAGCCCCGCCAGCGGCGCCGTCATGCTCCTCCGCGCCGGGCACCCTGCGCTGGCTTCCGGGGTGTGAACACCGCCCCGAGCGCCTCCAACGGGGACTGCGGGAAGCTCCGTCCGGTCCCCGCCTCCCGCGGCCCGGGAGCGCCCCCTCCCCTCCGGAGTTCCCCCTCGCCGGGCAGCGCCGCCCCCGCTGAGCGCCCTGCCTCGGGCTGAGTCTGGATCCCAGCCAGCCCTGCCTCTGCACCCCCGGCTCTGGACAGCGGGCTCCTGCTCTGCGGCTGTCCCCACCCCCCCTTGCAGCGCCAAGTCCCCTGCGCCCCCGGCCCTGCCTTCTCCCCTGGGTCAGAGGCAAGGAGGAGAGAAACGGACTTAACTTGAGGGGGGCAAAACTTTGCATATATGCTAACTCAGCAGTTCTCAACCAGAGGTCCCAGGGCCCCCTGGGGGACCACGAGCAGGTTTCTGGTCTGTCAAAATAAACCAGAGAGCAGGGCTGGTGTTAGACTCCCTGGAGCGTGGAGAAGAAAGCTGAAGCATGAGCAACTTAATTGCGGGACCCCCTATGGCATGGGGCCTGGGCAATTGCCTTGCTTGCCACCCGCTAATGCTGTAGGGTTGCCAGGCATCCGGTTTTCAACCAGAACACCCGGTGGAAAAGGGACCCTGGCAGCTGTGGTCAGCACCACTGACCGGGTGGTCATTAAAAGTCCGGTTGGCAGCCAGGGCCGGCTCCTGGCACCAGCGTTCCAAGCAGGAGCTTGGGGCGACAGTTCGAAAGGGGCAGCAGCTCCTCCGGCCACGGCGGCAAATCGGCGGCAGCTTGTCCCCTTTGCGGCCGCGGCGGCAAATCGGTGGCAGCTTGTCCCCTTTGCGGCCGCGGCGGCAAATCGGCGGCAGCTTCTCCCCTTTGCGGCCGCGGCAATGGTTTTTTTCACTGCTTGGGGCGGCCAAAACTGTAGAGCTGGCCCTGTCGGCAGCACAGCGGGGCTAAGGCAGACTCCCTGGCTCCACACGGCTCCTGGAAGCAACTGGCATGTCCCTGCAGCCCACTAAGCGCAGGTTGTGAGCAGGGAAGCTCTGCGGGCTAAGCCCCCCTCCCCTGCCCTGAGCACTGCCTCCGAAGCTCCCATTGGCCAGAAACCACAGCCAATGGGAGTGGGCACCAAGCAGAACTGCCTGGCCGGGCCTCCACCTAGAAGTTGGACATGGTGGCCACTTCTGGGAGCAGTACAGAGTCAGGGCAGGCAGGGAGCCTGCTGCTGACCAGGAGCCACCTGAGGTAAGCGCTCCCCAGCCAGAGGCCGAACCCCCTCCTGCACCCAAACACCCTTCCAGAGCCTGCACCCCAACCCCCATCCCAGCCTGGAGCCCTCTCCCACACCCTGAATTCCTCATTTCTGGCCCCACTCCAGAGCCCGCTCCCCCTCTTACACCCCAACCCCCTAAGCCCGCCTAGTGAAATTGAGTGAGGGTATGAGAGAGCGAGCAACCGGAGGGAGCAGGGCTGGAGTAAGTGGGGGTAGGTCCTCAGAGAAGGCGTGGGGCCTCAGGGAAGGGGTCAGGGAAAGGGTGTTCAGTTTTGTGCAGTTAGAAAGTTGGCAACCCTATAATGCTGGCCCTGGCTTTTAATCTATTGGATATGCAGAAAAACAGTTGTTATGGGCTGTGGAGTTTTTATAGCATGGGGGAGGGGGCTCAGGAAGTGAAAAGTTGAGAACCCCTATTCTACCTCCTGGAAAGTCCCTCAGGAGGGGTATATGCATAAGGCACCTGGGGCCAGAGCCTCAAAGGTGTTTAGGCTCCAAACTTGCTCCCCATGCCCTACCCTGAGGTCGGAGGCAGCCACATGGCAAGTGTTGACCCAAGGGAAGGCCAGGGCAGGGAGAGGTGAAGACTGTAAACAGGACATCAGGGCTGCCTGTCCTTCGGAGGCCTCTCCATCATAGACTCTTCCCCGATGCTGAAGCAGAAGACAGGGTGTAGCAGGGAAAAGCAGACCTCAGATGGGGTGGCGTGGCGTGGCGTGGCATGGTGGAGGGTTCTTAGTCCAAACAATGTGGTCACATGCAGGGAAAGTTTAGGCTAGCACTCGCCCACATCACGGTGCTCAATAGGACCTCTCCTGCCTGAAGAAAAGGTGTTTTCTCTCATTTTAAAACCACTCCAGGGAAGACAACTTCCTGGAGGTCGCAGTTTTGCTTGCGCCTAGATTAAAGCACTGTTTAACTACAGGAACTCTAGAACAGTATATTTGCCACATGCTTCCATCCAGTTCTCAAAGCGCTTTGCAAAACTAATGAAGCAACACCCCCCCCCCCCCCGCCCAAGCACCTGTGAGGGAGGGAAGTGTCACCATTTTACAACAGCCGTGATTTTCTCATTCTTTCACCAGTGCACTGGCACCAGTGCAGCTCAACAGTGGGAGCGCTAGCGGAGACAGGCTGCCAACATTTTAACCACCGTGTCAGCAGCATCCAGTGGGATCCGTGTCCAGAACTGGCGTATGTAGTGGCTGGAAGTTTCGTGCTAACTGGTGGAGATGGGAAACCTGTAATGTACCCAACCTGGGCCATGGTATATCTTGATTTTAGTAAGGCTTTTGATACAGTTCCATATGACATTCTGATAAGCAAACTGGGGAAATGTAGTCTTGATGAAGTTATTATAAGGTGGTTGAAAGACTGTACTCAAAGAGTATTTATCAATGGTTCGCTGTCAAACTGGAGGAGATGTATCTAGTGGGGTCCAGTACATGGTCCAGTACTTTTCAATATTTTTATTAATGACTTGGATAATGGAGTGGAGAGTATGCTTATAAAATTTGCAAACACACCAACTTGGGAGGGGTTGCAAGCACTTTGGAGGAAAGGATTAGAATGCAAAATAACTTTGACTAATGGGAGAATTGGTCTGGAATCAAAAAGATGAAATTCAATAAAGGTAAGTACAAAGCACTACACTTAGAAAGAAAAAGTCAAATGCACAACTACAAAATGGGTGGTAGTACTGCTGGATGCGATCTGGAAGTTATAGGGGATCACTAATTGAATATGAATCAACACTGTGATGCAGTTGCAAAAAAGACTAAACGTAATTCTGGGATATATTAACAGGAGTGTTGTATCTAAGGCATGGGAAGTAATTGTCCCACTCTGCTTGACAGTGGTAAGGCCTCAGCTGGAGAACTGTGTCCAGTTCTGGGGGCCACACTTTAAGAAAGATGAGAACAAATGGGAGAGAGTCCAGAGGAGAACAAAAGTGATAAAAGGCATAGAAAACCTGACTTTTGAGGAAAGGTTAAAACAAACTGGGCAAGTTTAGTCTTGAAAAAAGAAGACAGATGAGGGACATGACAACAGTCTTCAGATGTTAAGGCCTGTTATAGAAAGGATGGTGATCAGTTGTTGCCCAGGTCCACAGAAAGTAGGACAAGTCATGGACTCAATCTTCAGCAAGGGAGATTTAGGTTAGATATTAGAAAAAAACTTGCTAACAAGGATTATTAGGTACTGGAATAGGCTTCCATGGGAGATTGTGGAATTCACCAATGGAGGCTTTTAAGAACAGGTTGGACAAACTCCTGTAAGGAATTAGCTAGGTATACTTGGTCCTGCCTCAGCACAGGGGACTGGACTAGATGATCTTTTGAGATACCTTCCAACCCTACAGCTGTGTGGTTCTTTATGCTGATTCCCACTGAGCTCAATTTATCACCACCACAGAGCACTCATTCAGCACAAAGCAGCTCTTGTGCTCCTCACCCCTTGATACCAGAGCATAGGCAGCGTACTGCACACCCTCATTCCAACCAGTCCTGGTGAGGTCAGGCCACTTGGTGGCTATTGGTTTGGCAGCATTGTGTGATCTTCCACTGGGTGGTTCTCTTCCTCCTGCCTTTGAACTTAAGCAAGAGAGCCCTGTGCTTCTGGAAATGCCATCTGTCAAGTGAGACACGAAGCTAGTGTCCTCCTCACCATTTGTGTTCATTGACGATACCCTGGAATTTTTCAGCTGAGTAGGTCTTCTGCCTATCTACATTCTCCCCACAGCCTCACTTCGATACTGTTGAGTTATTATTATGATGTATTTGCAGCATGGTCAATGTGCCAGAGTTGTGTTAGGGACTGTATGAACATGGAAAGATGTGGTCCCTGCCCCAAAGAATGCCCAATCTGTTTTAAGACAAGACACTACAAGTGAATCTAATCAACAAAAGGAAGGGATGGGAGAAGGTGACAAAGGTAACAATGGTTATGAAGATTAGTTCTGAGCACAGTTTGGCAACTTTAAGGCACTTAGAGATATTTTTAATTACTATAAGATACCTAAAAAGAACAGGAGTACTTGTGGCACCTTAGAGACTAACAAATTTATTAGAGCATAAGCTTTCGTGGACTACAGCCCACTTCCATTCTATGCATCCGATGAAGTGGGCTGTAGCCCACGAAAGCTTATGCTCTAATAAATTTTTTAGTCTCTAAGGTGCCAAAAGTACTCCTGTTCTTTTTGTGGATACAGACTAACACGGCTGCAACTCTGAAACCTATAAGATTGGTAATCCCCATTACATTATCAGCTGGCAGTTCCTTACTGGCATCTCAATTGTAGTGGCTCTTGAGAAAGGATTTGAAGGTGGAGAGGGTATTGGCTTGAGGGGAGTGGTCCATGCATAAAGAGCAGTGGGGAAGACAGCTCAGAGATATTTGTAGGGAAAGTAGACAGATGGGCGGTTGAGGCAGGCAATCCTATTTAAAAGCAATAATTCAGTTTGAGCAGAGGGTTGATGCTGGGTGCCTGTTTCTTCTAGTGTTGCTTACTCAAGATTGGTAGCAGGTGGACAGCGATGCACTTCTGAACGGGAGCACAGAGGGATTTTAGGCTCTTTGTGTGCTGCAGCGATTGAGAGATTCACAGGAGCCTGCCACTGAATCTGAGGTGCCCTTTTCAGTCACTAGAGGGTGATGCAGAACAAGTTTTAAATGCATATATCAGCACATTAAGGACAAGTGTGGACAAGGCCTATGTTTGTAGTGAGATACTGTGCTTCCACCAGTCTCTCTGCAGGAATATGTGACAGTGCCATCAGCTATAACTGATCTGATTAGTGTGCACC